GAGAGAGACATAGAGACAGAAAGCGAGAAATCACCCCCCAGGGGGGATGGTCACGCCGCAATCCCTTCTCCTCCATTCTCCTCTCGGGATCTTGGGCACGCACGCACACGCGCCCGGCGTGAGTTTTTAGCCACCGGGTCCGGGACACGAACCGCGGTCGACTACGTGGGAATCCAGCGACATAGCCATTACGCTAACTGCTGGTTCCCTCATTTTAAGTTGGAGAGCAGAGTGGCATTGAGCTTTTTTTCTCCTATAAGTATTGCATGGGGGATATTTAAAAAGAAGAGTAAAAAGTGATAATGGACATAAGTTGGTTGGAATGTGGTGAAGGAAAAATAAACACAGAAGTGACTGTAAAGAATTAGCGTGTCTGGTACAGGGGCCTCGCTAAATCATTGTTCGGAATGTCACCATGGTCAAGGAATTATTTGCAAAGTTAGTAATGAACTCGAGGCTGGGTGGCTGGCTGTTTAATAGGAAAGAATGTCAGGAAGTGACAGGAGCAAGAAATCTAAGAGACAGCAGAGAAAATGCAACCAGCATAGACCTGGATTATGGAATGTGGAAACCAAGCAAGTGGAGAGTTTATGGGTAAGAGGGGGTGTCCTTTATGTTGGTAGCCACTCAAAATGTTTTCGAGGATGGCCCCAGTGCAGAAATGTAGAAAGCATGCTGAAGAAATCCTCATTTCTGTGTTTGCTTTTAGGATTTGTCTTAGGAGGTGCATTTGGGGTGTTTACTGCCGGCATTGATACCAACGTGGGCTTTGACCCTAAGGATCCTTACCGTACACCAACTGCAAAAGAAGTTCTCAAAGACATGGGACAGAGGGGAATGTCCTACGCTAAAAATTTTGCCATTGTGGGCGCCATGTTTTCATGTACTGAGTGTTTGGTAGAATCTGTAAGTGTCTCTGCCTGCTAAGAAATCCTTGTCTGCTGCTATCTCTCACAACTGTTTTTTTTTTTAAAGAACTATTTTATTTAACTTTATTTGTTCATTTATTTATTTTAATTTGACCAGAGAAGGACAGAGAGAGAGAGAGAGAGAATGAAAGTGAGAAAGCAAGCCGCCAGGTCCGGGACTCGAACCGCAGTCAGCCATGTGGGAGTCCAGCACCCTTAACCACCATGCCACCTGCCGGCCCCTCTCACAACTGTTTTAAAAAAATAATTATTTTATTTAACTTTCCTTATTTATTTATTTTAATTTGACCAGAGAAGGACAGAGTGAGAGAAAGAGAACGTGAGAAAGCAAGCTGCCAGGTCCAGGACTCAAACAGCGGCCAGCCATAACCACCTCAGGGGGTGTCCAGCACCCTTAACAAACTCACCACCTGCTGGCCCCTCTCACAGCTTTTTTTTTTAAGTTTATATTTTTCCAAGAGAGAGACAGGAAGAGAGGTTGTAGGAGGTATCTCCAACAGGGTCTTCACGCCACAAGAGAGAAAGAGATGGAGAGGAGGGGAGAGAGAGAGAGAGAGGCAGATATCCTCTCCAGGGTCTTCTTGCCTCCATCCACTCCCAGCCTCAGCTAGCCCAGATCACAGGCCCTTGTGCAAGCACCTTACACTCACAGGGAGGTCTTCGCGTGGAACCCAGAACCCTCCCATGTGGGTGCAGCATTCCAGAGTGTGGCTGTGTCACCAGCTGGGCCCAATTCCACGAATTTTAAAAAGAAATGCCCTCAGGGGCCAGCAAGTGGCATGGTGGTTAAGGGTGCTGGACTCCCACATAGCCGACCATGGTTCGAGTCCCAGACCTGGCAGCTTGCTTTCTCATTTTCCCTCTCTCTCTCTCTTATTCTGTCCCACTCTGGTCAAATTAAATAAGTAAACAAAGTTAAATGAAAAAAGTCTTTAAAAATAAAAGAAAGAAATGCCCTCTATGTTGTTAACTAGAAAGCAAATCAGAAACGTCTGGTTCTAGGATATACTTCCATGACATAATCCCTAATGTAAACTTTCGGCATGTGCTTATGATAGGGGCTTGTGTTATTTTTTATTCTCTGTAGACTAGAAGCTAATGGTTTTAGGCAGAAACGTATTGGGGAACCCAAGAAGGAGTTATTTATTTTTTTTTGAGAGGCTTATCGCTATAGAGCACGTGTGCTCGCCGGACAGACAGAGACAGAGGGACAGAAAGCGAGAAATCACCCCCCAGGGGGGATGGCCACGCCACAATCCCTTCTCCATTCTCTCGGGATCTTGGGCATGCACGCACATGCGCCTGGCGTGAGTTTAAGCTAAGCCTCTGGTCCAGGACTCAAACCGCAGTCGACTACGTGGGAGTCCAGCGACATAGCCATTACACTAATTGCTGGGTCCCAAGAAGGAGTTTTGATCACTTCTCAAACGCTGGGCTTGGTTGCATTGGTCTGGGGCCACCTGCAGGAAGCATCTATGGACCATGCAAATTTTAGGAATTATGCTTTTGAAAAAGATTAGGTTTCCTTTGAGGACGGACTGAGCCAACTAGAAACCCTGTGCTTGTTCCCAAGACCATCTTGTCTGGCCTGTTGCTTTGGCCCTGAACTGTGTTTCTCCACCCACAGTACCGGGGAAAGTCAGACTGGAAGAACAGTGTCATTAGTGGCTGCATCACGGGAGGAGCCATTGGTTTCCGAGGTTAGTAAACGGCTCTTAAATGGTTTTCCTCTCTGGCCTTGAACCGTGTGCTGAAGTTGACATTTCCAAACCCATGAGTGTTCCAGGGACAACACGGGCGTAAGTGGACACTTGATATTTTTCCTTTCTGGCAAGTAAATCATGTTTGCATTCGTGTTAACTCAGTTTTGGAAACTAGCTAGCATCTACATCAGGGTTTCTCACCTTTGGCACTGTTGATATTTTGGACCAGATTGTCATTACTGGGGTTTAGGATCTTTCCTGTGCATCACAAGATATTTAGCACCATCCCTGGCCTCTACCCACCAAATGCTGGTAGCACCCCTTCAATTACAACAATTAAAAATGTCTCCCAGGAGGGCTGGCAGGTTAGGGGTGTTGGACTTCCACATGGTCAACTGCAGTTCAAGTCCTAGACCTGGCGGCTTGCTTTCTCACTCATTTTCTCTCTCCAGTCAAATAAAAATAAAGTTAAATAAAATAATTCTTAAAAAAAAAAAAAAAAAAAGTCCTCCCGGGGCCCAGCCAATGGCATAGTGGATGAGAGAGCTCCATCCCACATGGCCAGCTGCATAGTTTAGTCCTGGACCCTATAGCTTGAAAAGCATTCTGGCACATGTGTGTGCCCTAAATCCAAACAAGTGAGAAATAGAGAAGGGATTACAGTGAGGTCATCTCCTCTAGGGGTGTCTTCTCACTTTCCCTCTCTTTCTCTGCCTTCAGTGAGCACATGCACCCTCTAGCAAACCTACAAAAACAAAAGATTGCTTTTGTTTCTCCCAGTGTTGCCAAAAATCCCAAATCATTCCTGAGTAAGAAGCATTGATTCAGATCTATCTTAGAGAAAAGAACGGCTCCCCTATTGAAAGTGTGGGGAAACTTTCTCATACTGATCTCCGGGGTGTTGGTATGCAGGCTAGCACAGAAGATGGCCGGTCCTTTCAGCACTGGTAGCCAATCTGCCCTTATATTCAGGCTGTGTTGGACATTAAGTTCCAAGCATTTCATCCATAGATAGCTTTTTAAGATAGAGATTTTTTGCAATCAGTGCTTACCAGAGAGACAGAGATGAAGAAGAATCCCCCCCCTGGGGGATAGCCACACTGCAGTGGCTGTTCTCCTTAGGATCTTGGGCACTCATGCACATATGCCCATCATGACTTTCAAGCTTCCAGGTCTGGGACTTGAACCATCCAGTTAGCTATTTCAGATCCAGCACCTTACCCATCACGCCATCTGCTAGCCGGATATTTTTCTTAATTTGTTTTAAGGTTTTTGACATGGGTGTGTTTGTTCACCAGGAAGAAAGAGAGAGACAGTGAGAGAGAGAGAAAGTGAGAGGGAAAATGAGAAATGGCTCCCTGGTGGGATGGCCACTCTGCAGTCCCTTCTCCTCCTAGGATTTTGGGCATGCATGCATGCATTCTTGGTATGATTTTTAAGTCACCAGGTCCAGGACTCGAACCACAGGTGGCCATGTGGGAATCCAGCGCCTTAACCACTAGGCAACCTGTTGACCCAACCATTATTTTTTAACGTTTTAAAAACTTTATTTTAGGGTCCAGCAGTTGGCATAATGGCTACGTCGCTGAACTCCCATGTAGTCAACCATGGTTCGAGTCCTGGACCTGGTGACTTAAACTCATGCCGGGCACGTGTGCATGTGTGCCCAAGATCCCGAGAGGAGAATGGAGGAGAGGGGATTGTGGCGTGGCCATCCCCCCTAGGGGGGTGATTTCTCACTTTCTGTCTCTCTCTCTCTGTCTTTCTGGTGAGTACATGTGCCCTATAGCAAACACCTCTCAAAAAAAAATTTTTTTTTATTTATGATAGAAAAGCACCCTCAGCAGAGTTTGGTTCATTGTGATCCTTTTTCCTTAGTGGCCTCCAGCTTGTCAGGATCCTGAGCACCTGCAGTATTTCCCCAGAGAGGAGATCTGAACCTACTGTTGCCATGTGGCTCCCAGCACCGCAGTTCAGTATGCTGGTGCTGATTTTGTACAGAAGTAGACTTTTTTTTTTCTCTAAGAATTATGTGCTTTAACTTTATTTATGTTTGTTTCTTTATTTATAATTTTGACCAGAGAGGGACAGAGTGAGAGAGAGAAAGAGGGAAAGTGAGAAAGCAAGCCACCAGGTCTGAGGCTCAAACTGTGGTTGGCCATGTGGGAGTCAGTGCCCTTAACCACCATGCCACCTGCTGTCCCCATTTTGTTTATTTCTTCCGTGAGACAAGAGAGACAGCACCCGCAACAGAGTCTTGATGCCACGATCCACCCACATCCAGATCATGGGCATTTGTGTGCCCAGCGTATTTAGGGAGGTCTCTGGACTTGAACCAGGAACCGTCTTATGTGGGACTGCCTCGCAGAACATCATGTCTTATAGCTGCACTACCATCTGATCCCCAGAAAGTCATTTGTTCTGTGCATGTGTGTTGTGTGTCACACACACACAACACACACACACACACAAACACACACACACTGCAAGAGGGAAAGAAAGATGTTTTCAACAGGGTTTTGGTACTTGGGACCCTCCTGCCCCAGTCTCCCAGCTAGCTAGGTGCTAGCTAGGGCATCTCTATACCTAGCCAGTTTGGGTCATGCCAGGAACCAAACCTGGGACTCACGTGGCTCCAGCCACTATGCAGTGGCGCCCTCCCACTTGTGCCAACACAAGTGGGCCTTTTCTTAACTCTCCACAGTTGATCAGTTTTAACTTTGTATATAAATCATAACGCTAATGTCTTTCTGTACTTGGGGATTCTTAGATTTCTAGTCATTAAAAACTAAGTACAGATATTCTAGAAATGTTAGATTATGAGCCATAAACAACAAACCAGTTCCCTATGGCATGGCCGAGTGTGCGGTGCAGGGCCTCAGTGACTTGACACGGCTAGCAGTTGCTGGCCTACTTTCCATCTCTCACACCCTGACTTACCCAGAGCAAAAAGCCTCTCATCTTCTGGGCGATGGGATGGTTTGCTGTCATTAAAACCTGCTTTTGCTCTTCCGGCTGCCATTTGTGATTTATAGAGCAACTTCCCTTTCGGTCTTCCCATTGCTCAGCTTTGTCAGGGCCTCTTCGAGAAGCTTAGTTCCCTCCAGGACTGCTTTGATCACCTTCCCAGGAATTTATTCCATAAACAAACCAGGGTAAAAGGCCATATGCTTTCATTCGATTCCAGGCTCTGGCTCTCTTAATGTTTCCTGCCTTTGAGGGGCTATTTCCATAAGAGTGGAAATATTAATTCTTGGGGATAAGGAAAGTTAAACAACTGTGCAGCTAGATGAAGCACACTGGATTCGACCGCACACACTGCTTCACTGAGGTCTGAGGGAGCTCGCAGAGGTTGAACGACTGAGTGCATGAGCTGCTCTCTCTGCGTCTGTGGGTGCACGGACATAGCGAGTGCAGCCCGACCTGGCATCTGCCACCACGCGTCATCTTCCGTCTGTTTGCTTTTCAGCTGGTTTAAAGGCTGGGGCCATTGGTTGTGGAGGGTTTGCTGCTTTCTCTGCAGCAATCGATTATTACCTACGGTGAGAGGAACTCCGTGGGAAAGGATGCTGCCAGCCCGGGATTGGAGAACAGTTTCTGCACCACTCCAGGACTCCGGCTTCAAGGGCTGAAGATGTGGGTCCCCTCGTCTAGTCAGCTGTGAGGGAATCGTCCGGCTGCTCTCCGCCTCCTGCCTTCTGAGCTGCCACACACTCTGCTGCTCCCAGACTTCAGCCAGTCTCTACAGTGGATGCGCCACGCTAGAGTCCATTTCTCAGAGCAGTGGGAGACATGGGGTGTTGACTTGCAGGATTGAAGCTCAGTCCTAGCCACTGCTGCCCCTCCGGGTTGGGCACAGGAGTGATAGCATCCTTGCACACACCCAGGAAGCTCCCCTATCTTGGAACCTCACGCGACCGTCCATCTCACATAGCAGGTCAGGCAAAGTAAATTTATGCCATCCTTTTTGGTGTGCTGCTATCCTTGATATATGTATAAAATACACACGTGCCCACACAAACTTTGCACTTTAAAAGGTTGGTTGATTTTTATTTATGAAATTTTACAATTCCCAGAAATGGTGCCAGGTGGCCCACAGATTAGACATGCAGAGGGACAGACTGAGAAAGTTCCTGAGGAGTCGGGGAATGTTCAGTCCTCTTCCCCAAGATCATGACCACGACCACGACGTTGGCCGAGGCCTCAGCCCAGCAGTCCAGCCTCGTTGCTCCATGGGCTGCACTGAAAGTCTGCATGGGCCTTACTGGCCTCTCCCGAGAGCCCTCCTGCGGCTGGCTGATGGGCACACCTGACGTTCGCTGAAACCACACAGGGTCCACGGTCTGATCACTGGAGCAGGAGCAGGCCCAGCTCAGCAACACATGTGACGGTCCTGCTGCCATCATCCTGGTGACTGCATCACAGGCTGCCGCGGCTGGCTACGATCGCACTGGCTGGGGGCTGTTCACCATCCTTGCTCTCCAGTATCAATGGGTGTATTTGTTTTTTTTTTAGTTTTTATTAAGAATTATTTTAATTTGGGACCAGTAGTTGGCGTAATGGCTATGTCGCTGGACTCCCATGTAATTGACTGCGGTTTGAGTCCCGGACCCAGCAGCTTAAACTCATGCCAGACATGTGTGTGGATTCCCAAGATCCCAAGAGAATGGAGGAGAAGGGATTATGGCATTGCCATCCCCCCTGGGGGGGTGATTTCTCACTTTCTGTCTCTCTGTCTTTCTGGTGAGTCCACGCACCCTATAGCAAAAACCTCTCCCCCCTTCAAAAAAAAATTTTTTTTAACTTTATTTAATTTGATCAGCGGGACAGAGCAAGAGCAGTGAGAAAGCAAGCCGCCAGGTCCGGGACTCAAACTGCAGTCAACCATTGGGAGTCCAGCACCTTTAACCACCACGCCACCTGCTGGCCCTGTTTTGACTTGACCTCATGGTCTCTTTCTGATACCACCTCACCTTACTTATCTACAGTAGGCAAAAATAAATAAGCCTCAAGGCCAGTAGGTGGCATGGTGGTTAAGGAGCTGGACTCCCACAGGGCTGACCGGCAGTTTGAATCCCAGACTTGGCAGTTTGCTTTCTCACTTTCTCTTGCTATTTCTCTAGTGAGTACATGTGCCCTATAGCAAATTAAATAATAATGAACTCAAATAAGCCTTTCTGGCTGGGCTCTGCTACTGGTGCTGCTCTTCTCTGGTGCTTTGGTGGAGAGAGGAAGTTGGTAAATTTACCTCTAGGAGGCAAACGGGGGAGCTTGGCCAGGGCTGTGTAATTTTTTTTTTTTTTAAAGAATTATTTTATTGGGGAACCAGCAGTTAGCGTAATGGCTATGTCGCTGGACTCCCACGTAGTCGACTGCGGTTTGTGTCCCGGACCCGGTGGCTTAAAACTCACGCCGGGCGCGTGTGCGTGCGTGCCCAAGATCCCGGGAGGAGAATGGAGGAGAAGGGATTGCGGCGTGACCATCCCCCCTGGGGGGTGATTTCTCGCTTTCTGTCTCTATGTCTCTCTCTGTCTGTCTGGCGAGCGCACGCGCCCTACAGCGAAAATCTCTCAAAAAAAAATTATTTTATTGAACTTTATTTTATTGAACTTTCATTATTTTATTGAACTTTATTCCAGAGAGGAACAGAGAAAGAGAGAGAGAAAGAAAGAAAGAAAGCTGCCAGGTCCAGGACTCGAACTATGGTTGGCCATGTGGGAATCCAGTGCCCTTTAAGTACCACATCTCCCCTGGGGCTTTGTAAGTTTTATTTTAAAGCCAGGAGTAAAAGTTTTATCTTTGTCTTTTTAAGTTTCCTAGAGGGTGGGGTCAGCAGGTGGCATGGTGGTTAAGGGTGCTGACTCCCACATAGCCAACTACGGTTTGAGTCCTGGCCCTGGCAGCTTGCTTTTTCGTTTTCTCTCTCTCATTATACCTCTCTCTGGTCAAATAATAAATAAATAAATAAATAAACAAACAAACAAACAAATGAAATTAAATAAAATCATTCTTTAAAAAAAAAAATTCTTAGAGGGTATGCGTGTTCACCATGAGAGTGATGAGGTACCCTCCCCCTCATGGGGGATGGCCATGCCAGTCCTTTCTGTTTCTCCCTCCTTTTGGGATTTGTGTGTCCAGAGTGTTTTATTTTGTTTGTTTGTTTTTAAAGAATTATTCATTTTATTTGTTCTTTTTTCTTTTTTTTTTTAAATTTGACCAGAGAGAGAAAGTGAGAGTGAGAAAGCAAGCCACCAGATCTGGGACTCAAACTGTGGTCAGCCATGTGGGAGTGTCCAGTGCCCTAACTACCACACCACCTGCTTGTCTTCCCAGCGTGTTTTTCAAGCTGTCAGGTCTGGGATTTGAACCACACAGTCAGCCACATTGGATCCATCTGCTTTGACCACAATGTCATCAGCTGCTCTGTCTCCTTTTTTTTTTCTACTGGACAGTAATTCCTCCACCTGGTGTTTGTGTTCTTCTTCCTGCTCTATCTTCTAGCCCACCCACCCTTAAACCGAGTTCAGACTCAGCTTAAATGGGTAAGCATGCTGAGTGTGTACCTGTGAGTGAGTGATGTCCAGCCCAGCTGCTTACACCTCCTGACTGGTCTGCTGTTCCCTCGGGAGGAATGTGAGTGGCCCAGAGGGCTCGTGTCCTCCGAGGGTGGATTCCATGCCACGTCCATCCCAGTCTCACGTGCATGAGGCCACACCACTACTAGGCCCATTAGCACACTCCTGGGAGTTCTAAGGACAAACTATAGGAGTGTTTCCTGTCTGTCCCTAAGTACATCACACTTGAAGTAAGGGCAGTCAGATACTTACCTAGTACCTGCCAAAGTACTAGGATGCTGGGGTCGTCTGTTGGCCAGTGTAGCACGTGGGCTCCAACATGCTGAACGACTGAGGAGAAATGCTGCCCTCGTAGATGCTTCGGAAGGGATGAGCCCCGAGGCTGTCAGTCGCCATCAGTTCAATAAGCCAGGCATTGTCCACACTGGCTGTTCAGTCAGGAGAGGAGACGAATAGCTTCCTGTTTTAGATGGCTACAGAGCCGGTATGAGCTCATAAACCAAACAGCCATTTTCAGAGACATCTGTTCCTGATCTTCAGAATAAACACAGTATCCAATGGCTTATGCTGGTGGGAGCCTTCATTAACCCCCTTGCTTCTTGCAATGGGAGCAGGCCCTCTAGGGTATCCAACTTCTCCAACAGGCAGATTAGACAGAAAGGCTGCCCTGAAGATGTGCCACTTCCAAGGAAAATGTAGTGAAAAGCTTAGATAAAACAAGACGTCTCTTCAATGGACAACTTCCTGATGGGATGTTTGCACCTTGTGAAGGGAACCACCGCAGCAAATGTGGAAGGTGAGACCAGAAACAGCCTGGCCGGTGCCTGACGGAGGCCAGTGTGATGAGCAAGGATGGGCTGAGACTCATCTCCTCCAACTCTGCCAAGGAAGGCTCAAGGGGAATTAGCTAGGTAAGTGGATTCCTGGAAACTCCCATCTGGAGGCAGCTGCAAGAGTTAAATATTTAGATTGCTGGTCTTCCCTGGACTCCCAAAAATACAAACATCCACACCACAGGGCTGAGTTTTGTGCAAATGTTGGGGCTTTGCATTTTTTTTTTATTAACATTTTCCTCTCACGTGGTTTACATCAATTTATAATAATCTACATAAATTGAAACAGAACATAGACCAAAAAAAATATATCCTTACCAACTTATTAAAGTCAAATATTAATGAAGGGTCCCATCCTACTTCTCCCAGCAGAAACCGGCAGCCCGGGGCCATCACCCTGCAAGCACAGGTATGCCTGGGACTCCTGCAGCCTGTCTCCTGCGGGTACAGGCCGCACTGCTGGGGCCCAGGGCTACATAGTCCCTGTCTCAAGAGGACCCACTGGGTGATTCCTTGGTGCAGCTCAGTTCAGGTCTGACACCCAACCCTCCCCACTCTGGGGGGTGAAATTTATAAATAGTTCCAGCCTTTTGCATTTCTCAGCCCTTCTAGCCATCCTGTTCTGATTACCTAAGCAAGCATGGGGGCTGCAGGTACTACCTGATGCCGAGCAGCAGTCCTTGTTTTAGGGAGGTGGGAGGCACCCAAGAACCCTCCATGCCATGTGCTCATCAATACCTGAGTGCCACACAGACTTCAGGAATGGTCAAAGGCTGGGATCTTCAGGCTCAGTGACACTTTCTCTTTCACCTCCTGTCCTAACGACTAGGGCTCCTTGCTAAGTTGCTGACAGGCAGCTGGGTGGTCAGCATTCCCTTCCTTGTAGGCATTTCTTCAGAATTCTGTGCATGTCGACGGCAGCAGGTGTACCAGGATCAAAAAGGGCCCTGCCTCACACCAAGCCCTCTAGCTTCGGCCAACAAACCCTTCCTTAAGACAGCCCTGAGCACAAGCAGTGGGAGTTGTTCTCCCTAACCCTGAGGGCCTAGAATCTACTTTGCTGCAAGAAGAGTCAAGGAGCTGTACCAGAACTCAAGGCCCTGGAGCTGGGAGTGCCTGCCCTCCCAGGCTTACTGCATAGCTGGCTGTCGCTGCACTGGCCAGAAGCTGTGCTTTGGGAATACACTGCTCCTTTCCAGTCCTGAGCAGTGGGCCTCAGAGTTGGGACTGGAACCTGCTGATCCCCTGCTCTGGATTACAGCATCAACAAAGACTGTGCCCCTCCTCCTCCCATCAGCAAAACAGTCCGTGAGAGGCAGGTACCCGTGAGTCCTCATCCTCCCCCAACTTACGGAGTTCTCCAGAGTTCATCTAGAAGGCCACCTCCAGAAGCCAGGGACAGGGGCGGGGCAGCTCCGTGGTGACTGGATACTGCTGGACCACACCTCCCACTCTCAGGCTTAGTACACGTGGCAGTGGGGCTGCCCCGTGGCAGTGCTTGGCTGTGGAGAATGTGTGTAAAATCTAAGGCAAAAGTACCACGAGGTCCACAAGGCGCCAGCAAGCCTCCTTGGTGGAGCCGGACATGGACACCTGCAGCAGCCACATTAGTTGCCCTCCAATGTCTGTCTCCACTAGAAAAGCCACTGCAACCCCTTGCTGCTTCCCCTGACGCCTCCCAGGGCGTTCCTCTGACCTGCCTGGTTTCATCAGCAGCCTCCCCCAAGATTCTTTCCTGACCCTCAGGCCCTCATAAGAGCAGGTCACTTGCTGTGAGTGTACACTCAAAGGAAATAGAACACCAGGAGAGAAGGAACTGAAAAGCAGTAGAAGAAACAGTCAAAGAGGCCTAACTGATAGGCAGGAGACAGAACTGATAAACCCCAGAACTAGAGATTCCCAAAAGGAAATATTCTGGAAACCAGCTCTCCAGCTCTGCTAGGCTGAGGGCCAGTGGAGTCCGTCTCCTTGTCCAACATTTGCACAGGCAGCAAGGCAAGGCGGGTGTGCTCCCGCAGGGGGCGCTGGGGAGCCGGGGGCAAGCCACAGCCTTGGGCTGCTGCTGCTGCTGCTGCTGCTGCGGCTGGGGGTGGGCACGGGCTCA